TCCTTGCCTCTTTGAGATTCCAAGGTGTCCCAGCTAGCAGGCCCATTTCTAAAAGTTAGTTTTGAAAAAGATAGACAATTACAGTTAGTTATAGGCTGTATTGGATTAAACTACACAACATGCCTTGTCTGATGTTACTGACTCTCACAAAAATGCTCATCCCACAGTATAGACCCAGTGCTGAATTCCAGATCAGACTGTGAAAGAGGAGGATATTTGGCAGAAGGATGTGCTAACTGTTCTGTGTGGCTTGATTTGCACTGCAGGCTTCAAGGAGCAGATTTATGATGTGTACAGGTACCTGCCTCCAGCCACACAGGTGGTTCTGATCAGCGCCACTTTGCCACATGAAATCTTGGAAATGACCAACAAATTCATGACAGACCCCATCCGCATCCTGGTGAAACGGTGAGTGAGTTTCCTTGGAGAGGACAGGGGCTCTGAGTTGGGCCAGCCCTGGGCAGTTCACAGTATTCCCTGATTTAAATGTCCAGAGAGTCTCTCATGTTCCTTCTCACCACTCCTGAGTATCTGCAGATGTGCTCATGTCCTGTTCTCCAGCAGGGGCTGGAATCTTATCTCCCTGACTTTATTCTTGTCCGGTTCTGTGTGCTGCTGCTCAGCCTGGCTGTCCCCTCATTCTCCCCGTGGATAACAGTCTCTCCTCATGGAAATCTATCCTTCACACTTAACCAATTCCTGGGCTCACCCTGAGGATGTTTTTAGGCTTCCTGTTATGATTTCCTATTACATAGCAGACAAAAACACCCTGTTAGTTTACATCTGGTGGTGTCACAGGTCCTTGTACACTGGAACTTGGGAAGAGTCTCCCTCTTGCCTGAGCTCTTACACTGCCCACTTAGTACATTCGAGCTTCTTGAGACTTTCTTCAGTCTCTCTTGTCAAGATGCTGGAATATAAAAATGATGAGAACAGAAACATTCCCCTTTGGAGCTGTCTGGCTGGAGCAGAGCAGTTCCAATCTCTGCTCAACAGGTCATATTCAGGCTCTTTCTTAAAGCTGAGTTTTCCTCTCAGGACTTTCTGGAACAACTCAGACTCCATCTGGACCCAGCAACCCACAGCACGTGGGGCAGAGGGGTGGTCTCTGGTGAGGCACACCCAGCTCTTGTAACTGCTGCTCACCTGCTTGTGGTGTTCTTCCCTACAGTGATGAGTTGACCCTCGAAGGAATCAAGCAGTTTTTCGTGGCTGTGGAGAGGGAAGAGTGGAAGTTTGACACCTTGTGTGATCTCTACGACACGCTGACCATCACCCAGGCTGTCATCTTTTGTAACACCAAGAGAAAGGTACAGGGGCCACCAGGGGCATCCTGAGGGTGCCTCAAACAGTGCTGGGCTAGTTAAGTGGTCTGGTTGCTCCCCCACTTGGAAGTAGTTCAGTAGGACCATGGGTTAAACCTTTGGGAAGTGTCTAACTTAAAACAATGGAGACAAACCTGACAGGAATTGCCTTTTTAGAGAAGTATATAAGAATGTGCTCAATCTAATTGCTTGTAATTCCTGGAGCAAAACCACAGTTCCTGAATAAATGCTCTTAATTCCTTCCAGTACTTGAGGAGCCCTGTATCATACATAGAGCTGATGCTTTGTAAGGATCATTTACTTCCCTTAGTCTCAGAATGCTCATGGAAGTCTCTTAGTCTATACCAGCTCATCTTGGCAGACATTCTGGAGCACAACCACTGTGTTTGGCTGTCTGAGCAAAGAGCTGACCCAGGCTGTGTTCACAGGTGGACTGGCTCACAGAGAAGATGAGGGAAGCCAACTTCACAGTTTCATCCATGCATGGGGACATGCCCCAAAAGGAGAGAGAGTCCATCATGAAAGAGTTCAGATCTGGCGCAAGGTAAATGTCCCAGATAGCGTTGCTTACATCAGTGCTGCCTCAGGGCAGGGAAACCCATAACAACTCTCTCTAAAGGCTTTGTTCAGCTCAGACTAAGGAGAACTCTGATTTCCATCTATCTCCTGTGGTGTTGAGGGGTTGAGAGATTGCCACTTTCCAAGGAGGGATGCTCGTACCCCTGGGTGTAGAATTAGTCTGTTCTATTTTGCTGAAGACATTGGGAGTTGCCTCTAAATATTATAAATGTTATTAATAAATTATAATAAATATTATTAAATATAGTAGATTAAATATTATAAAATATAAATAAAATAATAATTATTTACAATAAAAATTGCCTTTAAAATACGTCATGGAAAAAATGTCTGTGCTCCATCCTCAGTATTTTAAACACATGGGAGCATTATTCCTTCTGAAAGGTCCAAGTTGCGTTGGTCCTGTCTTGACTGAAGTTTGGTGATAGTGCAAGAGACAGCTTTCCATGCAGCAAAAGTGTGTTGTGGGCAGGGGAAGAGCAGGGGTTGCTCTGTGCTGGAGCCTGGGGGTTCCCAGAGAAGTTCTAACTGTGCCCTTCTCTTTGCAGCCGAGTTCTTATTTCCACAGACGTTTGGGCTCGGGGCCTGGATGTGCCTCAGGTGTCGCTGATCATTAACTACGACCTGCCCAACAACAGAGAACTCTACATACACAGGTAGGCTGGGGCTTCCCACAGGGCACTGCCACTGGGGGAACTCTTCCTGCAGTGGCTCCATTCCCTCTTCCCTCCGCAGAATCGGCCGCTCAGGCAGGTACGGCCGGAAAGGCGTCGCCATCAACTTTGTGAAGAACGACGACATCCGCATCCTGCGGGACATCGAGCAGTACTACTCCACCCAGATCGACGAGATGCCCATGAACGGTGAGTGCTGCCTGACCCACCTTCGGTGCTGCGCTGTCCCACTGGGCTGTGGCTCTCTGCACAGCCAGTTCATACTCTTATTTCTTTCATTGTCTCTCGTTTCAGTTGCTGATCTGATCTGAAGGTCCGTGTACCATTTGGTACCCTCCAGAATTCTGTTTTGGACCCACCATCCTTTTATCATATTTTTGGTCATGTGTTCTTGAGTTGCGCTGCACTTGGGAACTTGTGTAAATATTGTCTGTACTCCCACCCACGTTTTTCAATAAAAAAAGGAAGTTTGACCATAACCTGTGCTTAATTACTTTAACCCAGCGTAGTAACAGGGAGGCAGGGAGTTTTGAGATACTGCCATACTTGGCTAGCATAATGAGACAAAACATTGGACACTCCCGTATCTGGGTTCCTAAAATACAGGGCTTCCTGTTCTCTACCCTTTCGTTATTGTGCCACGCCACCTGATGTACTTTTAATTTCCTTAACTTAACCTTTAAGGATCAGACATCTACAGGAAAAATCTGTGGCCTGGCCCTAGCATACTGTTGGAAAACTCAGTTACGAGATAGGCAGAAATTTCCTGCTGGTTACGTCTTTCTGGAGCCAGGGATCACCACACTTACTGCTCCAGATGAGGATTTCCCACCCCAAGGAACTTGGGCACAGACTTCCTGAACAGGAGGAGTGAGTATCCTGTCTTATCACCTTCTCCACCTCTTTCTGCTGCTGTACCTCGTTCCATCTTCCCACTCACCTCTGCTCCTGTGTCTCTGGCACGATGCTGTACTTTGCCAGCTGCAGGATCTTCCTTGAATCTTTCCTACCTCACCTCTGCAGTGTCCCTTTGTGAGGCAGGAGTTGGCCAGAGGTCAGTTACAATCTGCTCTGTGCTTTTCCTGCTGCATTCAGCTTTCTGCATGCTCAGGGAGGCCAGGGGAAGCAAGGCTTGAGCACACCACAGTTTGTACAGAATTGGATCAGCTCTCAGAGCTCCTTTCTGAGTAGCAGCAGAGTAGCCCAGGGTAGAGAAAGCTGCTCTCACCTCCTTTAAAGCCTTGTGAAACTCTTCAGTTCCCTGAACCTGATTTCCTTAACACTACACAGACAGAAGTTGGGAAATACTAAGCTTGTTCTAATGGGAACACTAATTGTAAGGGGCTGGCCATGGAGGCACTACAGCCTCGTGCCTCCATGTGCCTCCAGCAGCAAGGCTGAGCCAACATTCCCACTGGGCACACACACGGAACGTGCTCACACTGTCCATCCAGCTCAGTGTTCAGCACTGGCACGACAGCACCCTCACCCTGCCCCTGCACCTGCTCACCGTGCAGGGCTGTTGGGGGCAGTACACACACAGGCTCTGGCTCTCTCCAGGAACTGGGCAAGGAGGCTCAGCTGATCCAGAATCCAGCCTCAGGATCACCGGTCTGCCCCAGTAATGTTACAGCAGATGGACATGGCCCACCCCTGCACATCCCCACTGTGCCTGCCCTCGGTAGCTGGCCTTGAGACACAAGTCTGCCCTTACCTGGCCCTTGCAGGGTCACACACGAAAATGGAACCCCACAGCCTCCCACTCAGCCCAGACCTTGTCCCTCCAGCCCAGACCTAGGTCTGCACCAACACCTGGTCCCCAGGCCCCTTACCTGACCTGCTGGCTAAACCCAGCTCGCTGTTCAAGTGACACAACCTCACTCCGGGCTGCTGCCATTCCAAACATGCAGCCCCTGAGCCCCCAGGTCCCGTTCCAGTCCCTGGCACTTTGACCTCTGTGCCCACAGAAGGAGTCCCCGCTTCCAGGAAAGGGTGAGATGGGGTTAACAGCCAACACGGCCGAGCAAGGACAGCACCAGCAACCTGCTGCCATGTGACCGCCCCCTTTTATCTCCTAAAACAATCAGGTTCCCACACTGGGTTAAAAGTCATCTTGACCCCTCCCTTTCCCTACCTTCCATCCCTCCCACAAGCTCGAGGGCATTTTGCATTCATGGTGGAACCTGGTGCCACAGCGTTCAGGAGCTCTCCCCCCACAAAGCCTGAAGAAGAGTCCAGGTAAAGCCTTGCAACTCCTTGTCCATGTGCTGGGAAGAGCTGTGCCTTTGCCACCTCCACAGGGCACAGCCTCCAATCTGACTCACACCTTCCTGGGGACCACGAGCAGCAAGGGCAGGCCTGGCCCTGCGAGCCCCCGTGTGACTCATTTAATTAGCAAGAGATTAATCACCAAAGCATTGGCTTGTTTGAATAACAGTATTTAATCTGTACAGGTTGAGAGATCATAAAATGCGACATTCCTACCTCATCTTTAGCATCATTCCCCTGGAGCTGAGCCCTCACCTGCAGAGGGCAGGTAACCACCACTCCCCAGCAGTTCTTTGCCGTGCAAAAGTCACAGTGCAATTGCTTTAGTCCTAGACAGATGATTTCCCTCACTCGAGAGAGGGGAGATGTTAAAGCTCAAATGTTGATGAAAATTGTTACCATTTAGGAATGCAAAAAACCCAGCTATTGCACACAGCCATTTCCAGCTGAAACTACAGCAGTTAATTATTTAGCTGCCTTAACACTCCACACAGTTGATACTGATTTAGCCAAGAATGAAAGTAAAGCCAGTAACAAGATTTCAGAGTGATACAATTGTTGGAGGGCAGAATTTGACAAGCAACTCCACAAGTCAAAAGCGTGCTTAAGAACAGCAGGAGGTTTTCCTATACAGGGAGGGGGTATGAGCTGGACAGAGGTCACCTTCCAGAGACAAGCATGACAGGAACATCGGCTTCAATAGAAAGCTATGAAGTACAATAGAACAAATCTGTTCATATAATTGTGAGGATAAGTATTTGACATAGTTTATGTAGTAGAATACAATACTTGAACATCTTTTAAAAATAAGCACGGATTTCATTTCATATATACACAACTGATTTTAATCATGTACTGAAAATAAATTACAGGAAATAACTTTAAAATGCAACAGAAGACAAGAGTTTCACAACAAACATTCCCATTGATTTTCCCAAGGGGGTGAGAGATTGCAGTGCTCAAGGCAGGTAAATATCACAAATATATCAAAAAACTTCAAATTGTTGATGCATTCACACATTTACATGAGCCACAAACATTCCTTTACAGGAACTGCACTTAGCTACCACAGAACCAGGTTTTGCCATAAACTACAAAACTTTGATACAAAATCGTATTTATATATTTATATTTCATATACATGCCCTATCTGTGATTTCTTAAAAAATAAAAACTAAACACACTGTACAGACAATCCTAACTCATTGCTTGGTAGCTGTAGGCAACATTTTTGGATGGAATTTCTTCCCCAGTAGAATTAATGGCAATATTATATACATGAAGGCTAAACTGCAGAAAAAGACAGCTCAGTTCCGATATGCACCTCCCTCGGGACCAGGTCTGCGAGTTCAAGGCAAGACACCCTCTGTGCTGAGCCACTGCCTCCCTGACACCCCAGTTCTGCGTGAGGAACCAGCACATGCACCTGTGTAACACTGGTAAAAGGCAAGAAAGCAAGAGACGCGTTGTAATGGAGTGGCTGCTCCGATGGCTCCAGCACACACAAACACCCGCTGGAGCTGGCGAGGGTGGTGCCGAGCTGGGGACACTGGGTGAGAGCACAGCTGGTGTGGGCTGATCATGACACTTCCCTGAAGTCAGCTCCTGCAGGGGACAGGTTTCCCTCGTAAGCCAGAGCCTGCACGGACTCACAACGCTGGGGAAGCTCCCCCTCCCTCCCCCAAACACCAGGGGGCACCAGGACTGTGTAAAACTGAGCCACTCCCTCCCACCCCAGCGGGCTCCATGGCACCAGTTTGTCTGAGAAGCTGAGCACTGACAAACTTATCTCTTCCCCGGTGATGGCAGCAATCTGTGAAGCCAATCACACTAAACTACTTCTACAGTTGATTGTAAACTTTGGTTTATTTTTATTTATTTTTTTTTTTATTATTGAGTTCTCATGGTACAGCAAGCATGTCTAGGATGAGAGGGCAGAGTTGAAGAGGAGACGAACTGTCAGTCTGTCTTTAGTCTGGCATGGTGAGCCACCTGCTCGGTCAGGCCTGCTTTGATAGAGTTTTTTACAGACTGCCTCATATGATCCTCCATCAAATTATCACTCATGGGCTTCAACACCTGTGGAATGAGAAATGTGCAAAAGAAACAAGAAAATGAGGTAACCAAGGAAAATAAGATATAAAATCATATAAAGAGATGAGACTTGAAATCATGAAAAAAACTTAGAATGATGAAGTCTGACACAAAGTGGCATGAACTGAAAGAGAAATGAATTTTGCTGCTAGAGTAATGAGGTTAAAGCAGTCACATGCTATGGACACAAGTGATACCCCTCCTACACAGCAGTATTTCACTGAATTCAAACCACTTTACAGTTCCTAGAAGATGGATGTGCAATTCCATACCCCATATGCAGCATCAGTCTGGTATGGTTACAGCATTTATGCAGACCGGCCCAGACGGTCCAGCTTATTGTCCTATATGTGTAAGTGTGAACACTTCAGATACAGAAAGAAAGTTAAAAATACTGGCTAGTTTTTCTTCTTGTTATTGTTGGATGAGAGTCGCTGTCGCGGCACTGATGTGAGAGCACGACGAACCGTTCGGCGTCTAAGGACTTCAAAGAGTTTGGAAAACACCTAAAACACGAATTCAGCTGTTAGGAAAAACGGCTCTCACAACACAGCAGAAACTCAATCAAGTTCAGAAAAAAAAAAACAAAACCAAAACCTGATTGCCAGTAACTTCTCACCTTCCTGGGATTCCTCTGAAGCAAGGAGGGAAGAGAAAGGCAGAGATTCAGAAAAATCAACAGCAAGAACGAGCATTTAATCAGAGTGACTCAGACAGGATCTGCAGTGCTTTGCATATTACTGGTGATGTGCAGCTCTAACAGCAACACTGCTGAGGTCTTTTGGAGACCACCCTCCTCCAGCCCACAAATGGCAAGCTCCTGCCAGCAATAAGCCAAGTTCTCCCCCTTCCAGGGAAGGTAGCAGCCAAACCAAGCCTTGTATGCTTGGGGTATCCTGCAGCAGCAGCTCCAGCAGTACTGGAGAGCTTCAGTTTTAATCAGTAGTGAGTATGCCAACTCAAGATTTAGTTACCAATTTATTTACTGATGCTCATTTCCCTGTTTTTAAAAAAACACTTTTTCTGCTCCAGTTTAATTCAAAGCCTGGGACCCTCAGCAGGTTGCTCAGACAGGTCTGGTGTACCAGTGCCTAGCATGAGCCCTGAACACAGGAATTTTCCAGCTGTGGAAGGAAGCATCTATGCAGAAGGCTCCAGTTAGTTATCTGCTCATGCCTCTCAAGACAGACTTTAATGTCACCCCAGATAAGCTCGGTGCATCCTTTATTTCCAGTAACAACATCAGGAAGGTCTTTCCCTTCTGCTGGCACTAGACAGAGCTAGTCAGAGTACTCCAAAACCTACTGGCCAGGAATTCTCTACATGGCCTTACTGGCACAGCTGCATTAACTGAGTTCAGGCAGCAAAATCTCTATGCAGAAAGTTATCTCCTCTGATGTCCTTACACTCACATCTTTCTCTTTCAGGAATTTGTTGAGTATTCCTTGCAAACAGCAGTTGCACCCACTAAGGCTGTCACAGACAGCACAAGTGTCCCTGATGGAAGAAACCTGCTGTGCACCCTCTGCTAACAGCTGCTGAAAGTCATGACCCAGCCAGTTCTCTCCAAGGACCAACAAATCCCTTGCTTTGAATAAGGAAAAAGTTTTGAAGTCCCTCCACTCTTCACCTTCAAAGCACTTACTAAGTAACCTTCTGCACCTTAAGTAGCACTTCTTTGATAAGATCCTAAGCTTTTTTAACATTCCTTGTGTGCAGCATCTGTTCCTGAAGAGAGCAGTCACACTACTGAGCAGATCTTCCCTTTGGCAGCACTAGCACCCTCTATTAGGTCTAGACCAGCTTTTCCCTCTCAGCACTGAGCAGAAGCTCTTTGATATGTCTGCTCACGACAGCAAGGTTTTGCAATAAAAACAGATACCAACCTGTTCCCATATAGCTTCAGCGATCTGATCAATGGCTGTTCCAACTTCTCTGAATTCCCCAGAGTACTTAACGTATGCCCAAGTACAAAACGATATAAGAGCCATCCCCAGCACGAGATTACACAGGGCAGCTATGGAGTTCATGCCAAGGAACCCAGTCAGTCCTGAGATTATGTACATGGCAAACATGACTGCAAATAGAGTGGCGGGGGTACGAGCAGCATAAAAGATGTTTTTGCCGTCGTTGTGCTTCACAAAGTTTGCATAGATCTCGTCGATTTCCACTTCGAGTTGCTCCTGGTAGCGCCGGCAGAACTCCTCCCCTCCCATCTTCTTCACGGAGCGGAACTGCCGGATGGCGCTCTCTCGGAAATCCTGGTGCTTCTGCTCCAGGTCCGACGGGGCAATGTAAGGCTTATCTCCCCCACACACCTGTGGGAGCAACCAGACATTGGGGAATCACACCCTGAGCATCTGCTCAGCCCCTCGCTGCCCTCCTCCCGCTGCCGCTCCCTCGGCTCTGTGAGCCCCAGCACCGCCCAGTGAAGCAGCCAAAGGTATTTTGGATCATGGCAGGGCAGGAGCTTCACCTGTCCAACCCCACACAGACCCACAGGACTGAGCTCACACTTCCACTGTGCTCTTCAGGAAAGCCCAGAGGACAGGACAACAGCCATGTGCGCATCCCCACTTTTTCCCAGAGTGAAGTCCTCCACATCCACCAAAACTCCCTGGAAAATGCCTGCCAGTCTCATCCTTCAGAAGTTTTTTTCACATCACCCAGAGCATGTTAAACACCAAAAGCTACTGAGGGATCAAGAGGCCACCACACAAATAACTATCACTGTTTTCTCATGCTCTGTGACACTGCACCTGTTGTTCCTTACATTTCAGGTCATTAGGGGGACAGTATTTTGGTTATGCACACTCAGCAAAGGAGGGCTTTGGTTCATGAGGACAACTCAGAAGCTGCAGCAAGAACTACCTTTACATAATCAAGTTTTAAATCCAAAGAGTTCCCACTTTTGTTCTTAAAAATAGAAGTTTCAGAGCTGTGTCAGATCAAGAACATCATATGAGACATCTGGATAAAAAAACTATTTCATAATTTGTGCATATCTCTACAGTGATATAAAAATATACAGTACTGGGGAACATTACTATGGAAACAAAGTCTGTTTAAAAGAACATCTGTTTCTGTTTATTCCCTGCTCCAAGTTAGAAACCTTACAGCTAAAGTATCTCAACAACCACTGAAGATTCAAGTTTGGAAGCCAGACTTGGCACTTATTATAAACAACACATTTACTATTTCAAGACATTTTCCAAAATGGAAATAGAGGAGTTCCCTTAAACCAGCAGAACATTCTCCAAACAGCCTGCTAACAAATGGAACTGGCTTGTCTGCCACTAGCAGTAGGTCTTACTTTAATTTCAAAACAAAGAGCAAGCTACTTCAGCAATTAAGACCACAATTAGTCCCAATTAATGGGGAGCTATGTTTGTAGCATGCTCTCACACCTACTGGTCTTTCTGGTTGTACAGTTTCACAATAAGCAGAGTCTTGCTAAGCTTTACGAGACATGTAATGGTTTTCAGAATTCCCTATGATAAAACCTTGCATAGCACTACATTAAAGTATGAAATCCATCCAGCATTCAGCTTAGAATCATATCAGATCACTATCTTCAAGTGAAGAAGCAAGTGGGAAATTACATAGGTTTTTCAAAGCAATTCTTGTTCTAAGGGGTTTCATTCATTTTTATAATCAGTTCAATCCTGCATTTTACAGCTAATGAATGGCCACAATTCAGAAGCATGAGACTACAGAACCAGAATTCCACCACTGTGCAACCCTAAGACAACAAATGTCTGCTCACCTGTTTGTGCATTTCATGTCACAGGATTTTGAGATGTCTGTCAAGAGGGAACTAACAGGTGGGAATCCTGCAAACACATCCATTTTCGTACCTCCCAAGCTCAGAGCAGAGTGCAGAAAACACACAAGTCCTGGCCCTGAGTTACCTTCTCCCACTGAAGTGCTCACACACAGAGGACAACATGGAAGCTGAAAGCCTGCAGTTGCATGCAGGTGTTTAGGAAAGGTTGTGCCATCATACCTGCTCCATGCCTTTGCTGTATAAGTCCTTTGCTCCTGCCACAGCAGCAAGATTGTTCGCCTCAGCTGTTGCCTAGAAAAGATGGAGCATCCTATGTCATTCACAGCATTCCCGGGTTTTACACAGCATTACACTCCAAACATACCTCAAAAACCTCCAGAGTTCCTGATGGCCAGGACAAGGCCACACAAAAATAAGTGAAGTTTAGCTATATACATTAAAACACATTTCTGCCTTTCTTCAGCTTTCTAGCACAGCTGCAAACAAACCTCAGCTTGCTTGTACAGGCTCTTCATCATGAGCAATCTCTTCTGAATGCTCTACTGCTAGTAAGCACATAAGAGCCACTAAACTACTATATTTGAATCCTGGTACTGGGTTACTTCCACTTCCTGAGAGGAAAGAAAGAAGCTGGCATTATTTCTGCATTATAGATGTACAGTTTTGCTGTCAATCGTAATTCTCAAGTTTGTTAAGAATTTAAGACTTAATTTCTACCTGTGTAGTGTCAGGGACAATTATTGTAGTTAAAGCTGCAAGATGTCATTTTCTGGGTTCTCCCAGCCAAACAGCAAGTTACAGGAAACTAATGCTTAGAGAGAAAAGCAGCTAAAAAACCCAACCAACCAGACAGAACGCTGCTCCATTTGGTTGATTTAATTTCATTTGGTTGGTGAAACTGAGGGAAAAGTACCCAACCATCACAGTTCAGATGGCTTTCAAAGTACACAGATCCTTCAAGAAATACAGCTGGGGGGGAGCTTTAGGCCCACAGCAGTCATGATTCTTCAATTGCAAAGAACTTATATAAAGTACACATCTAATAAGATTATACAAAAGAAAATAAAATACCTGCAGCATAGATTTCGGATGAGGTAGCTCCTCTCCTTGATAGATTTTAATGTAAGCCTAAATGTGAGGAAAAAATTAACAAGGTTTATTTTTCTAAACATTTATTTTAATGAGAATAAGAAATGAGGGATGATACATAGACAGACCTCAGATTATTTCTTTGTAATAGTGCTGAATACTAAATTATGCAGTTCTCTTCATAGAAGTCTGACATTTTTTCCCCTTCACCTTCCTATGCCTTAGACCAGGACCCAGCAGGGCAGCAGAGCACCCTGAGGAAACATCACCACTGTCTCAAGAAGTGACAGGTTTGACAGCAGGTTTCTACCCCCACAAATGCATAAGGTCTTTGCTAAACAGGGAATATTCACCCATAACAAAAGAGTGGAGATGACTAGCCCAGCCTTTCAGGCAAGAGGTCTGCCCAAACTTACCCCAGTGCTGGGAGAACCAATACTTATATTTCCCCAAATGCCTTGATCTACTGTAGGACGAAAAAAAACCAGACCAAGGCACTTAAGGCAGACAGAGCTGAGCAGACAAAACACTTGCAGAAGCTAAGCAGGTAGCCTATCCCTCTGTGCCTCACCCCACTTATCTATCCTCAGGTGTCCTTTCTTTCCCCATGGTTTCAGAGGGCTGGAGGAGAACACAGACTTCATTTCTGGCCCATGGCACAGCTGCTGGGGACAGGTAAGTGGGGCACAGCAGGCAGCAGCAATTCCAGTGCTTTGGACAAGCTGTGCAAGTTACACCAGCAAGGCCACTCTCGGTCCCCACAGGGGGGTGTCTGTCTTCACACCCCTGCTGCCTTCCTGCCCTGTCTGCAAGCCTTGGGCCTGAGGAATTTTTGCTCCAGGGGAGCACAAGGGGAGAACAAGGTTATCAGGGTCCCCATGTACTCAATAATCTACGTTGCAGAACAACCTACAAAAACATATGGAGTTATACAGGACTCCGTTCCCTTGACACCCGCCTTGCTTCTGTAGCTATTTCCTCCAAGTAAGAGCCCTACAGTTTCCAACTCAGGCCTCACAATCTCAGCTTCAGATGCACAGTCCCAAGGGAACAGTCCTCTTTAGTTATATAAGCATGGCATTTCTACAGCACCCCCCAGCACTGCTCCCCAGCTGGATACAGGATGTCAATCAGCTTTCCAGTAGAGGTTTAACACTTGGGTTTTTAGGATGCAGTCCTTTCTAAACTGCTGCATTGTACCTGAGTGAGTCCTCCTAGAGAAAAACTGGAGCAAAAAGCAGCGTGCAACCATGTAAACACAGAGACTGAACATCAGAGCTCCCGTGCTGATCTTGTGCTTTTCAGGACAGCCATCACTTCTGCATCCCATACCATGTCTTTCCTTTAAAAACGTTATTTTGTTCAACAACTGAAGTTAAATGAGCTCTGGCCTCAAACTCCTTCGTTGCAGTTTGTTTCTTAACATCAGTCTAACTTTCTACCCCAAAAGCAGAAATGCAAAATTCCTGTCTTTAGGAGACTGTGGCATCATTCTTACCGAGCCAATTGTCCAAGTCATTCCAATTTTAAAAAAAATAAAAATAAAAGCTACACACACCAGACCAACCCCTGGTGAAGTAGAGATTATGTTATCACATTTCTGCTGGTAGCACCATGATACCAAAAAAGCTCAAGACTAACAGCTGTGAGTAACATACATAAATATTTCAGAGTGCAGTGGTACTATGCATAAAAGTGTTCAGAAAGCACCTTCGCTGCATGTTAAAGATCCAGAGGGGAGTGTCTGAAATTTTCATTGCATACCTAGCAGTTTAAGAGCTGGTTTTTTATATCTGTAAAAACTACAGTAGACCTACTTTAATTGAAAATAAGCAAAAAAAACCAAAAACAAAAAAACCCAAAAAAACCCAAACAAACAAAAAAAACCTCAACTGGGATTTCAAAGTAGGAAAAAAAATCTAATAAAACTTGAGCTATTTCAGCCTATTCACAGGGAGGAAAATAAAAGCCACCAATCCACAAATTTTGCAAACAGTAGCTTGCAAAGAGCTGCACTGTTAGGAAGTAGTGTGCCAGTTCTGGAAAGTCAGAGTAATGAAATGAAAATGTAAGTGAGCTGATCAGTGAGCATCAGCCTAGATATCATATCTTCTCTGGGAACAACATGGCCTAAAATTAGAATACTGTCTTTTAAGCTATTAACAGAAATAATTAGCATGAGTTTGCTTACCTTGAAGTATTCTACAAGATCTCTACAGGTCACCTTGGATCCACTAATCTCTTTTTCTACCAAGTTTTCAGGGGCAAGCAGTAACGGTACCAAATTCCGCAGTTCATTCTTAAAATCCTCATCTATATCTAGTAAAATTCAATCAATTCCAGGAAAAAAGTAGTTAGTTTTTAATCTTGTATCTTCTAAAGGAACACTGATAGCCCACAATCCTTAATCCACAATGTCACACCTCTGAACTGCATTTTTAAGGTATTTAAATGCTTACATACATAATACAGCTTTAGTAAATTGTACCTACTCTTAATCTACCAATCTTAACTTCAGACTGGGAGAACAAGATTTCACTATCCTTTCAGTATTTTAAGTGCATTTCCTCAATTACACCAATGCACAATGACCCCACAGGTGTGTGCCCTCAGCACAGCAGGGGCTGGCATCCCACCACTGCAACTCACTTTTACAGCCTTTGCCATTCTGGTGCACTCCCTCTGTTGGGGGACACATGAGGAATCCTGACTGCCTCTCATTCTGCACCTATGGCTTTTATTTCTGCCATTTCAGAGCTGACCTGTGGTTCAGCAAGTTCTTAGAGAAAAGCCCTTCCAGAAAGTAAAGTCTTTAATAGTGGGGATTCTGCCCTCTGGAGCCCTTAGTTATCTTTGGAATCTCTATTTAATGACCTTTAAGCATGTCTCAAGTTATCAGATTACAATGAACAGCTAGACACAAAGATATCCTCTACTTTTAAACCACTAAAAAGAGCACACAATGCACATTTCTAAATTCTGCAGCTTCACCTTTTAGCCTTATATTTTCTAGTCAGGCATTTCAATAGCTAACCATTACAGTGCTTAACTGCCATCATGTACGAAAACAAACTCAGTGATCTAAATCAAGAACACAAAACGAAAAGCTTCCTACCATTCAATCTCCCATCAAAATTTGGATTTGTTGCAACTTTAAGACCAGGGTGGGGCAACAGGAAACACCCAAGATTACTGAAACAGGAGTGAATATGCTTCCTTACATTCTGTAGCTCTTCATGTTGGTTTTGCTTTACCTGAAGAAAAAAAAAAAAAGGCAGTAAGAACTGCTACCAGTTTTACAGCACTGTAATCAAGATTAACCATCATCTTAAAAGCAGTAATAGCAAAAAAGTGTTTAAAGCTTTTATTCCTGACCTCATAATGTCAATTCTGACTATGAGTGGAAACACCACAAATGTATTTTATTAGCACAAAAGCCAGCTCATGATGCATCATTGCCTTGACAGCAAGGTGTCTCTTAGAAGATCAGGACTACTGCAGATAACTTACCTGCAATCTTTTCTCTAGGAACTTTTTTCCTCCTTCCAAGCCATATGCATGTTCATAAGGATAACTCCAATCTCTAATTAAGAACATTAATGTCTGTAACAGGAAGAACAGCAGTGAATGGTTTGCATCCTTTCTAAAGTCATAAATTCTATTACATTTGTGATTATGTTAAGTATTTGGCTGCTCTAAAACTAAATATATTACAGATTATATGCAAGGATACTATGTAAGTTTTTTGCTATATTTGGCTGCTCTAAACAAAGCAGCCTTGTAGTTCTGTGGTGAAAGTGTTTGCTTGTTTAAAAAACCAACTAAACAAAAAACCACCACCAAACAGGACCTTTTCTCAGAACCATCTACCACCATATCTCAGAGTAATAAATAGGAAGACAGCACAAAATTTTTCTCCTTAACACCGGCACATAACTTGACATTTTGGTTCCTTTTATGCCTTATACCTCAAACACAAAGCTATACTTGCCCAAAATGTGACCTCCTCCAGCATCTTTCCACTGGGTTTTGGCAAAGTAATGTGGCAATAGTGAAGTAAAATTAGTCTTGCAAAGAACTGGTTACCTTCAACCCAACTAATTTATCTTCAGAAATTATCTTGAGCTCATTTTCTACACATTCAACTGCTTAAATCCATTTAACACATGGTTACCTGAAACGGCTTTTGGTAAATTTCTTCCATAGCTAGTCTTCCATATTCTGTAAACAACTGAGAGAAAGAGCAGTATAAGGGTGTGCCACATAGAAAACACATCTTTCTGCTGTGAAATATACTATTATGTCACTAAAAAATAAAAGCACTCAATCTTATATACCATTCTCAACCTTACTATAGGTTGAGAATGGCAAACAAACCTCAATAATGAGTTTACCAACCCTCAATAAGATTCAGGTAGGAGACATGATTCCCACAGGCTTCACTGTGCCATTCCTGAACTGTCAACACACTACAGTTTTAAGTGGGTGGCTTGTAGGCTATTCTCAGAGAAAAGCTGGCTGCATTTCTCACCAAGCCAGCTTCCAACACTTGCTTCCTAGGCTGAGGAGGTAAGCCTGTCTAACATTTGCCCCCTACTTCCCACAAAAGGTTTATTCCTGGAAATCCCAGGGAACTTGGCTCTAGCCAATATATCAGACATTTAAATACAAGCCAAGTTCAGCAGCTTCTCAGATCTCTGCTCCAGCCAGTGACCTTAACTAATAATTGTTCCTTCCCTCCAGTATAAAGGCAAGTATCAGCTGTCTTCCTCTCACTGCTTTCACCATCTTTAATTCCAGCAGCATTCCTGCTGGCCTGAGCAGGCCAAATCACCCACAAAAACAGGAATTAGGGACTGTGCTGGCTGGTTCAGCAGAGGTCAATCCATGCCAGTCTCCTCACAGATACTGGAGGTCAAGATGATGGAAGCACACCAGAATTCTCCAGTACCAGGCAATCATTATCCTGCATTAAACTAACTCCTGGAGCATCTCAGGTAAATTATGGCTCAAAGGATAGTTCCGGTGTTGATCACAAGAGCACCTGGGAACTTGCAAGACTAATTTAAAACAGCTTAACTTCCAAGCCCTTGTCACCCTGAGCAAAAGCAGCTTGTGAAGTGGCCAAGCACTCACAAGAGTCTGGTTTCTTTGACCAAAACTCTTTTCCTCATTCATTTCCCAGCTAAATGCAAAAGGCAGTCAGAGACTAGCAGTATTTCACAATTACATAAATTCCCATTAAAACAAAAATTTGGAATTCCTTCCCTCAGACCATGATTCCCTGCTGCTGCTTTAAATGCACGGATGTCCCCTACCCAGTGCTCGTATTTATCATCCTTCCCTTCCTTCCCTCAAATTTCACCCTAGAACAGAAATAGATTGTCTGATTCAGATTACACCAAGGCTGTTAATGGACCAAAGTCTCAAGGGAAGCCTGGCTTTCAAATAATTACCTACAGATTTTTTTTTGTTTGTTTTCAGTGCTTGGTTGTGTGTTTTTTAGGGGGTGGGGGTGTTGGGCCAGTGATACAACCCTGTTAATCGAGAACAGCTTCATAAGACTGTTTTTAATGAGTGCTCTTCTCCTTCCAGCATTGGCAGCCAGTCTGTTGTAGCACTGAAGACACACAGAACAGTTTTAAACTGTGACAAGGTCATGGCCTTGGCATTTGGTAATACACAGGCTATTCTCTAAAGCTACAGGTTTTAAGTTAAGGAGATAAGGTTCTTGTACCATTCACATGAAGCCAGAATTCAGTGGCCTTTGACCACAATGTTCCATTAGAGGATAAATACCCCATGGTGAAGAGAAGGCAACATTCTCCTGCTCTTATTTCTAAGCAGAAATAAAACTCTGCAGAAGTTTCTCAGCTGAAAAAAAAGGGACTTGCAACAGACTTTAAAAGAATCAGCTAGATTAGAAGCCTAAACAATTTTACCTCTACACTGGCACAGTAGAAGCATCATGGAGTTGATGCAAACACAGTTTTTACAGGCTGTACCAGTTTTAGTATCAGGTCAAATTCAGGTTTTCCATGAAGCATCAAACAACTCCCAAGTCAGTTACATGAACAATAACTTCTAGAACATTTTCAAGCCTATCAGTTCAGAAGCAGTTTAACATAAATTCACCATATCCTACCTGCAAATGTTGAAGGTCATCTTCCTGAATATTCTGAGACAAGTTATATACCTGCAAAAGACAGACAGAGAATTAGTGTCACATGAAACCATTGTCTTACATTTATATAGTCTCTTTCCCACACTGAGTATTTTTGCTTCCTCCAGAAAGTGTAATTACCCAAAAGTCAGCAAGCAGAAATGTGTCACAGAACACATCTCAAACAGAAGTCACCTCCTTATTCAAAAACAATCCACCAGGGCTAACTCCAAAGGACAGAAGTAATGTTCCACATACTCCTGCTCCTTTTAGGTTGTGGCATGTCTGAAGTCACTTGTCACCCCTCAAAAACCTGCTTGCTTTTGGCACTTCTAAGGCACAAGCTTAGAAGTAGTTTTGAGCATAGCACAATTGTGAGGAGTTTAAATGACGCTTTAACAGACACAGCAATTTTAAGTTTGGCTGATCACAGCATAATGTCATCCCAAACTGTATCTACAGCCTTAAAAAAGACTCTGTAACATCTGTAAAGAAGCAGTTTCTAATTTGACGTGTTGAGGGGGAAAGGGATTTCCCAGTTCTGTCAGCAATTTAACTCAGCCTGGCCTTGCATAACCTTGATTCCACCAAGCAACTTGGGTAGTGTGTCTTATTTTCAGTGTAGTACATAAAGTATGGAATTTTAAATCAACACTGGAGGAAGATATGCAAGTGAACTTTCCAAGTGTGGCTCAAGAGATATTTCTTGCCTGTTCAGGATAGGGTTCTGCCATTATTTGCCAGCATGGATATTCTCACCTGGACAGAGCTCGTCATGGTGCTCAGGGCAAAAACCGTTGCACAGTCTTTGATAGTGGATTGGCTATCAAAGGCACCTTGGGTATCCATGAGTAGTACAGCAACCTGCAGAGTTTGAAAGAACAGCAGAAGTTAACCAGACCATGGACACTTTCACACTCCAGGCCACTGGGGTAAGTTCTATTTCAAGCAGAGCAAGTCTCTGTCCATGTACCTGCTGATGAAACCTCAGCCAGCTCCCTGCACACACCCACAGCTGAGTAAGCAGCAGCCAGAGGGCCCTGGCAGCAGCCTCAAGTCCTTGGCCTTGCCTGGCTACCTTCTCCCACAGAAACAGCCCTCCTTGGCCCAGTGGGGATGTTCTGCAGAGCAACTGACAGCTCTCTTTCAATGGAAGAACATCAGCCTCACCTGCAGATCTAGCACAGTTCATTAGAACTAAGAGTAAGATGGTTACTTACACATATATATAAATATATATACCTTAAAATAATTATTTTCAGCAGAAAATAATTGATACTGTCTGCTGGAATGACAAGGAAGTGATACTAATGAAAAAAAATTATCAGTCCAACTCCCATGGATGGGATCTACTACACTTCCCTTCTCTTTCCCACTGATAAGCAAGAGCAAGTGTGTGATTTGGTACCAAAGCATAAGCAGATTCACACAACATAACTGGTTTTTAATCAGAGAAGTGTTTGGTTAGCTGTGAAATTTGTTGAACATCACTAAGCCAACTATTTTTAAAATCCATGTCCCACAGATTGGGCATCAGATGCTTCCTTTGCAAATGCAATGGGTATGAAATTTAAATAACTTAAAACTGATGGTTCAGAACACAAATAGTTCAAGATCACCACCACTATCGTGGAGTAAATATTTATTAATGACATTAACACTTTGTTTCAGCATAAACACCTCCAAGCAAACTTTGCCATTAAACTGATTTAAGAGTCAAAAAAGAATCAAGTTAGTGCTTTTTTTCCCATTGTTAGACTTCAGCCTTTTTTTACAGACTGCCTGTTAAAATTACATGGAAGGACCAGCTTCCCAGCACTGAAGTACATACAGGCATGCACTACATTTCACTAGAACACAGCTAGAAGCTAGAACATATTCTCACCCTTCAAAGAACAGTGTGTGTTACAAAGCTTTTCACCTCAGCATTTGTCTGTAGATGGTATTTATAGCCATTACAGTTTTGCAACATTCCCAGGATAACCCATCCATCAGCCTGGAAGGGGTAGACTTTGCCAAAACAAAGTACTCTCAGAATGAGACTACTGCTGAATTTTTCTGCTGGGTTGTAGGAATCAATCTCCATCCTTATCCTGATACACAGTTTCCAGATACGCTACACAGCTACTCAATGCAAAGGAAAGCAACCAATGTTCAAACAGCCACCAGGAATGCCATGACATTAAAAGTGCACAGAGACCAAAGTCCTATTTAAGTTTTAGAATGACAAGAACAGTTTAGGCTGAAAGGGACCGCTAAAGATCATCTTCCAACCCCTCTGCCAAAGGCAGGGACAACTTCCACTAGACCAGGTTCCCTGGAGCTTCACTGAACCTGATCAGGAACACCTCCCAGGATGGGTATCTGCAGCTTCTGTTCTATTTAAAAAAAAACCCCAAACCAATTAAAAAAAACCAAAAAAACAAAAAAACACCACCTAACAACCAAATCAGAAAGCCTACAACTCCTCCAAGGGAGACCTTGAGCAATCAAGGTAAATCAAGCACTCACCTTTGTTCCATTAGGTTTATCAATTACAAACACTTCACTCCAAACTTGAATGCCAGTAGTTTCCCGTTCACATCCACCTCTCCATGTAAACCCGGTCAATGGCTCCGTGTTTCCACCTATCCAGCAAGGAGAAGTCTACAAAACAAAAGGAAAAACTTCTGTAGAACCACGGAGGAGATTTCTATGGGTTTTTTTAGCACGCTATGTTTTAGCAGACTTCCACACTGTTATTGCATTTTCCTCAGAGCCAGCTGACAGCCCTACAAAAAATACTAAAACACAATGCTATTCTGCTGTGTTTCAACATCATCCACAAAGGAACACCGTGGCATTTCAGTGCACAACTTTTCAGTCACTGAAGAGTAAATGTGTACAGTTTTTGAGTCTCAAGTACTCAGAGGTATTGAGAACAGCACAGATTTGTCCATCGCTTTCACTCTCACAGCTGAGAAAACTGCTAAATCACAATAGCAGATATTTCAACACAGGAACAGCTATACCTCTGCAAGGGACAAAACACCTAATCTTAACTTAATCCTCTCCCCTCCTCCTAACTAACAGCTGGCTAAGCATTTGAGTCTCTGCACTAACAGAAGCCAGTACAAGACTCCCAATGCCATCTTGCAGAAGCCACAGAGAATAGACAACCACCAGAAGATCTGCAATCTATACTTGCCAGTTACAGAGAAAAAATCAGGTTAAGAGTTTGATATATGTCAATCAACCCACCCATATTAAAGTTGAGAAGCTATCCGAGAGGCGAGTACAGTTGGCAGATAACATTCCTGGCTGATGGAATTGAATGAGGTCTTCAAAGGTCTTCAACACAGAGCAGCAGCTCACCCACAAGAATCCAGCCATTATATGAGCATATCTAACCCAGGAATGTAGTTCATGTACTGGCAAGTAAGGAGGATGAGCAGGCACCCCAAGGAAGTTTCACTTTGATAGGTTTTTCTGTAGCCCCCTCATCGGTTAAGCTGTTGTCTGCCTGCCACTTCTTTCATGTAGGATTTCTGTGTATATAAACCTTTCTTTCACAGGCTAGAACACAGCAAGCTGGCATAGGAGACATTTAATGAATTTGTGTTGAACTACTCAGAGTAGATTACCAGCCAGGAAAGAGTCCACTGAGAAGGTCAAAGTGGAAATTCCTCAATTCACTTCTGGGCTCTACCTTGCTGACTCCACACTGGCAGTTTTCAGATAACAGTTCAAGACATTTCTTCACATTTCAGAACACAGTAGGAATACCCAGGGACAGTACAGAATAAAAAAAACTTCAAACAACTAAGTGCAACTGCTTACTTCTAAAGGGGGATGGGAAAAAAGCCTGAACACTTTCCTCATGCCTAGCAGCACACAGGCAATCCAGCAGTTCTGCACCAGCATTCTCCCAAATGCTAACAGTGCGCCACTCAACTCTGCTACTTGGATCAGCAATAGGTGAGATAAGCTGATAAAAATTCAGAAAAGGAATACAGGTATGCAAGTAAAGAGTCCTACAGGTCTTTACAGGTAAGTTGTTTTGGTTTGGCTATTTGGGGTTTTTTTTCCCCCTTTCATTTGTTTATTTTGATAGCCACATACACCTCTACCAGAGACACTAAGTGAAACCTGAACAGCTTTTCCCAGTAGTCTTTTTTTATCCCAGAAGATGCTTATGCCTCCACAGACCACTCTATAAATGAAAGTTCCAAGACTGCTTTGTGCTGCAGTACACTCCAGGATACAGTTTGGCAATGCTGTATGATATTTCACATGTACGTGTATGTCAGTGGACTGCAGCTTTTTACTTTTCAAAAAGAATCGGTTAATCAGTATGTTCCCTTTTTCTTTTAGGTACAAGAACGCTTAACCCCATTTTGGTCCAGACATTATTCTTGTTTGTAACAAATCAGATCAAAACTACACAAACAGTTTGACAAGTCCCTCAATGAACACTAGATACAACCTCATTTGATTTCACACGTGATCCATAGGACAGGAGTTTTTTAACAGACACAATTTTACCTGAAGCTGCTTCATCTTATGGATGATGTACTTAAGCCTGCCTCTGACTGACTCTGCATCACTTTGAAATACTTCTAGCTTGTTACCTACATCTTTCCTTAGCTAAAGCTCAGTGTTTTAAGACTCCATCCATCAAGTTGGTTTGAAAGATATCCAGGAGATGGGAGGGGGGAAAAAAGGCTCCAACCTGAAATCAAGCTAGAAGTTGCTCTATAATTTTAACTCAGTCACCTAAAAGGTAATTTCCCCTAAATTTACTCCACACTAAGGAAAAGCCCAATGCAGCTTTATTTGCCTAGTGCATTAATACACAGCACACCATGAAGACTAATTCAAAATGAGGAGGTGACACTCCTGTAAAAAAATAAACTTTTACATCTAAACTTGGGTGTTGCTGTACCCAACTCTTACTAACAGGATCCTTGCAGCAGCTTACTGAGTACACAACTGCTGCTTTTCCATTTCAGAAGAGCAACCATAACACTAAGGATCAGTGCTTGAAACGAGATGCCCACCTCCCTGAAGGCACTGATCAACCTCTGCCATGCCCAAATCCTATCTGTGACTTCAGCTGGCACCAGTAAGATTTTTACAATGGCAACTTTTCACATGACCTCTGGCCCTCATTTTAAGACAAGAAAATGGGATTCTGAAGGGGGTTTTTGGCAAATTTTTCATTATGCATGTGGACATATTAACATCCACATAAAAGGACAACCCAAAAATTGCTTGACTGGGACATGAACTGAATACAGTCACTTTAGTTTTCTGTGCAGTATTTAGTTCACAGAAAATACAGACTTGCAATTGAGCCTGACTAAAGATGGAGGGCTCAGGCTAAGTACTATAAAACTATACCAAGATCTCTCCTCCTGTACTAAATTTGGATAAGCAGAGGGTATCATTTGACTTCACACAACTCAAGAGTGCTCCAAAGAGGAGGCGTTGCATTCATCCTCCATCACCCCCAGTTCCCATCAATCAGTTTGCAGCAGTTCTGATGCTTGTCAAACTCCTTCCCTAAGCCAATTTACGTCACTGAGCTGGCAGAAAAACAATTCAGCAAAGTGCAGTGTCTTCTGATGCATCAGTGAGTTGGATCAGCTCAACTAAGGGTCTGCAAGCACTACAGCTTCAGAATGGAAATGCCTGGCATGAAGCAGCACATGGAGAGCAAGATCTCTCTGTTCTTGGTAAGAAATAGTTGTTAGAGTAGATGGCCAACCTTGCTTTCATCTTCAGTTTAAGAGAAACAAATGCTGTTTTGAAGGACATTTATAGAAAAGTGACTGCACAATAAAGGAAACAGAGAGGCCTGATACACAAGACCGAAACAGCATTTTAATCTGTTTTGCTATATGAACATTTGTTTCATTTCACAATCTGAAAATGAAGAGTATTTGTTTAAAATCCAGCCTTTCTGTTTTCAAAACTAACTCACACTACCTCTACCCAGCTCAGCATCTTGTTCAGATTGTTGTATGTAGGAGTTTGTATTTTGCTTTGTTTGCAGTGATTGGTGAGGGTTTTATTGTTTGGTTAATTTTGAGCCATATCAAATCAATCCATATCAAATTAAACTTTTTTCCACCCTAGGTTAAAAGGGTCTCAAGAAGTTAGGAGTTCCAGCTTGCTACTCTGTATTCCTCCCACCCTATCCTCAGGGTCTTTCTTCCAGAGCTCTTGGTAAATGAGTGAGAGGAACTCAACAGCAGGCACTACTGGGATTGAGAGAAGGAAGTCTTTATTTGCTGTATTTCCTGTAACTGCAGGGTTCATCTCAATTTTCCCTCAAGCCAGCTAGTACAAATTCACTGCAAAGCACAGTGACCAAAAAAGGAATCAGTTCTGTGCCTCTAAGAGCTTCAAAAAACAAAAAAACCACTGACCTGTAAATATCCACAATGCAGACTAAAAGAAACACTCCACAACCTGTGACAGGCAGATATGTAAGGTTCACAGAAGAACCTACTCTACCTTCTCCATATAAGCCAAGGGTTCAAAGCATAGTAGTCACAAGACAACACTAGCCAAAAGCTACACACTAAAAGAAGAAATTAAATTTTGGATCAGGCATCAATCAAGTCAATAACTTAAAAGGATTTTAAGAGTTCCTGGACTGCATTCAGAAATGCATTCCAAGCAGCAAACAGGAAACTTTCTCCTGCAAAAATGAGCGAGTGCTATAATATGATTTCAGGAGATAAAGTCAAAGCAAGTCACCAGCTGGAAAAGCCCTTCCCCAAAGCTCAACTAGAAGGCCATCACACTGCATCATTCAAGCTCTTCTCATGTCCACTTACAATACCACTTACATCAATAAATTCCCTTGATAACTCCAAGATAAGGTACTTAAATACCCTTCTTCACAGTGTAGAAGCAGAGTAGCTGACTTCCCCTCCATCACTGTATCAGTAAATTTTGACTTGCTATATTTATGCTCAAGTTAACATACACAAAGAGAAATTACTAAATTACCAAAGTACTTTTCTCCTGCAGGAAAAATCCAAATTACTCACCCTGTTATACATGTATCTAAGCATGAAGTCCAGCAGAAAAGATTTTCCTTTGCGGAAAGCTCCTGCTACAGACACAACTACTATGTTAAGATCTTTAATATGTTCCTGAAGCAAGATTTTTTCCAATGCTGATTCATCTAATTCAAAGTTATGGTCATCTTCATGAGCAAGGACAATCTGTATGGGGCGTGGCTTATCCAGTTCCACCTCGTCATCTGAGTCTGGCAGGGCATCTGAGTCTGGCAGGGCATCGTCCTCTTCTTCTTCATAAAGCTTACCTGCAAATTGACAGGTGAGAACACATTATAGTAAGTCACAGCTTAGGGCAAGAAACACTTTTTATTGTGAAGCCTTGAACTGGGCTTACATTTCCAGCAGCAAGGGTGATGTTCTTGGGAATGTAAAGAGGTCAATGGTAGCTTTTGACAGCTCCCTATCCATTTCCATCAGCTTTGTGTCTAGCCTATATTCCAGATCCTCTCTCTTTCAGATATCCTCTATGTATTAAAGAATCACAAAAAAAAACCCAACCCTGATTTTCAGCTTCAAAACCCCTTTTACTGGGATCTAAAGTCAAGAGCCTTTTATTTGGAAAAAATTAATAGTTTCAAACAACCTCCAAAGAGGAGCAAAAAAGGGCATTTTGTATCACCACTTTCTTGTACTGTTGTAAGGATGTCAGGGAAAATGAATGTTTTCTGTCAACAGGTTTGCTTGCCAACAGGTACAAGCAAGACCATGGATTGAGTACAGAAGCACAGGATAACAAACACCAGATGAACAAGCTCTGCTCTATTTCCAACACTGTTTCAAGCCTCAGTACACCACAGACTTTAGAACACCTATTCCCTGTTTGCAAGACAGTAAACTACTGAACATGTGCATGCCCCTAACACTTCTAGGCTAAGAAAACAAGCAAAACTCCACCATTGAAGTAGTTTCTGGCTTCACATTCTTCCTACAATGCACTACTTAAGCAAGATTTAGTAACAGTATCAACTCATTAAAAACAGTTAAGAGACTATTTTATACACAATTTAAGAATTAATAGCCTTTCAGGATAAAACAGTAGCTTAAAAAACTAACTAAGATTAAAGTTACTAATGAATGAGAAGGCCTTCAGAGACACACTATACCAGTACCAATATCCTATTTTCCTGAATTTCTAGAATTAAAGAGTTAATTGGATTAGAGGCCTCAAAGAAAACCAAACTAACCTATCCAAGGTGAAGTCTCCTCTCTTGTTCAGGCACCACAACACTGAAGTTTGTCCCACAGCAGAAATCATCTCTACCATTCCTGACTCCACTTTTCCCAGCAAGCATCTGGAAAACATCTTTATGCTTACAGAATTGCCTCCCACTCCCAATTTACATTTTGCCGTGTCCTATTGGAAGCCCATGTGCACAAACCCGATCAAGGCACCTTCCTACCAGTTACTTATCTGGGATTATCACATATGATTTGCAGTACACTGTCCCTGTAGTCATGTTTCCATTTCCAAGACAAGGCAGCAGCCACCCCCAATCCCTTGATGTCTTGCTCACAGAGACATTTCCTGTGGAAGCAGCCCACAAGTGTTCTCCTGCAGGATGCATCCATGAGGCACCGTGGAACACACAGTTTCATTCATTCATGGCAGAGAACCTGCCAATGCTCACTGGACCTGCCAAGCCATTCCTGACAGACTTTGCATGTGAGATACCATTCTCAGCAAAAGACTTATGAACTCCAGATCTGTGGATGTAATGAGACACTGCAGTTATTACCATGAATTTGAAAAGCTGGTAACATGGAGACCCTGAAGTTTCTCCAGCAACTGTCTCCCTAACCAGCTCTGACAATGCTGCATTTAATTGCAAAATGACAGAGGATGTTTCCACTTCCAAGCATCAAATCTTGCGCTGTCCCAAAGCCCAATGGCATTAAATCTTGAAAAAAATTTGGTTAGAATATATTAAGCTTGCATGGTACTTGGTTTGAACAGGACATATACTTGAGTGTTTAAATCCTAAGCAGCTAGAACTAAACTCCAACATTATCCAAGTGGGTGTGCAAAACAGCCCCCAGCATCACCCTAACTCAAAGTGATTAACACAGCAGGCCAAAAAACGGATTATACTAGCAGGCCTGACAACTGGAAGGAGTAATTTTTAAAAGCAAATCTGTCAACAGGACACCAAATTATACAAACTACATTCACACTGACTAGTCACCACTTCAGAGGAAAGCCTCTCACCTTTGGCCTAAAGCTTTTGTATTCCCAAATATTAAACAAACCCTCTCCTCTTTTTTGAAAAGAGTTTCTAAATAGGCATTGCCTCACATAGGCAGGATCCTTTGGAGGCCAGAAAACTTGGGGAGGATAGCCCAGGTACAGAAGGATGAAGATTTTGACAGTCAGAAAGAAAGCTTCCAGCATCACAGCCTAGAAACATAAAGGGAATATTCTATTGATGAAAGTATTGAAGTCAGATCCAGGAGGTGCTTGTGTTTTAGCAAACACACTCACAAAATGTTTCAAAGCCTCTGCTTCAAGGTATGCCCCTGGTAACAAGTGTAACTTGGTTACTTGAAACAGCCTCCTATTCTTTTATTTAAATACACACTTCACTTCAGCTGCAGTAAGGGATTGGGTCTGTAAACTAGGGCAGACTGAAAAATAGTTTGAAGCCACACATGCAGCTTCTCTTCAGTCACTTGGAGCCTGACATAAACCATCCTGTCCTACCTGTAAGTCATCAAAACTTGTCAGACCTCAAAGACCTCAAGCTGCAGCAGTATCCTTGTGCCAGTGCAGAGCACAGCCACACAAAACCTCTTCAGGCCAAGGAGATTTCTGAATATACAAGTTGAATGGTCCTCTATCATTAGTTATTTATAAACAAGCAGATTCTCCCTATCATAAGGAGATAGTACTATCAAGAGCTTACACACAATATGCCCATTAAAAGCTCACATCTTGTTAACAGCACTCTGTACCACTGAAGCTCATTAGCTCAGAGGGAACAGGAGAGAAGATTCATCCTAGACCATAATCAACACCTATTAGATTTCACTTACCAGCAGAAACTGCAAGTCAAGTCCGGAGCACCAAGTTGGTTTGTTGCCTTTTTTTTTTTTTTCCTTTGACTAACCAGCCTAATGTATCTGAAAGTTCCCAGCCTACCTACAGAAAAGACCATCATGGCCATCAGTCAAGCACTTTGGAGGGTGGAGAACTGCAGTGCTGACAGCTGTGAAAGCAACTTGATCCATCCAGAAGAGCTGGTTTGATAACTTCATGCCTGAGTGGCAGAGAACACCCCGCCTTTCAAGATTTTGAACTAGTTGGCAATCACCAGGACAGACATTGCACAGGTCAAGCATGTTAACTATAGAACAAGTGCTGCTTGTCCCAGCAACATAATCAGCATATGCCACCCTGTCAGGTGTCCTAAGCAGATGCCACACCCTTCTGATTCTTTATCCTGCCTTCTGGCTGCTCACCCTGTCACTCTGGCTAGTCACTGTCTCAGGCAGCACTTAGGAAGCCCTTCTAGAAGGCTTCAGTATCATGGGAAGAAAGCTCACATTACACTTCCAAGAATTACTTTCAGTGCAGTCTCTGGAAACAAAGGTCAGAACAAGAAGCATCCCCCTTCACAGTCCAGTTCTCTGCAAAAGTCCTCAAAGTAGTTCATAAAATAAACATGCTGACAGCACTGTCAGGTCAACTCAGGCCAGAAGTTTATGCAATTCAGAACTCAAAGCCCTGTCCCTTGGCTGTCCCCCACTCCTCACCCACCCCAGCACAGTCACAGTGTACTACTTAAAACTCGGAATTTAAGCTGATTTGTTCTAAATTCCACAGACTGCTCTAGGTTCTTGCAATAGTCCAGTCCCAGCAAATCAAGTATAAAAGACACAAGTACTAACTTTACAAGAGGTGGCATTCACAGAATGGCCACTTCCACACTGATGTCTTCCTAACCTGCTGGACAATACTTTGGACATCTCTGTACAGGTCTCCATGACAATACATTTCAGTACTGCTACAGAGGCAACCAAAACAACAGACTTTCATTGGTTTGGGGGTTTTGTTTGTTTTTTGTAGTACATTTTAACACTTTGCTAAGCCCAGCTCCATCCCAGTAATGGAGCTACCAACCCAATTTCACATTCACACAAGGAGTGGTTATTTCAGAGGAATGTTCCATGTTCTGCATCCACAACGGAGAGGCAACACTGCCTCCTGCCACAGGATTAAAGACAGGCTGGTAGATTCACCCAACTCACTCATGGAGTTGATCACTATGCTGTTGGAAATCCCCATGTGCACAGAAGATCTGAACCTTGGGCTTTTAGTACATACATAAGAGTTCTCATCTGTCAAGCCATATGGCACTAGAACTTGTAGCACAGTGCTGCAGGCCCAGAAAGTCACAGCTATACTTTTCTTTTTTTCAAGATGTTCACCTGACCTTTGAAGTTTCTGTAGTACTGAACTAGGAGACTCCAGACTAAGGTCACATCTGCTGCTCTGTCTGGAGCAAAAAAGATCACCTGTCTGATTCAGAAAGATCATCAACTGGACTTGCCCCTGAAGTCTGCCATCCATTCACACCTATTACTGTGGCTGTTCACCAATCAGTCCCTACATCATTTTGGCTTCCTCCAACCTGAATTATTCCTTTAGAACCTGTGGGCTAATGCATGGTTCTGACTGGCACGATCACTTCCTAACCCAGGTCAAACAGGCTGAGAGACACAAGAGAAGCAACATTGTGCAGCAAGACACAGAAGCAGACAGATTTGAATGGGAGCAAATATAGCCAAGGGAAGATACTACCACTCAGTTTCCTATAAACTCCTCACTCCACTCTGTAACCACTACAGCATGACTGCTATTTATTCTCACCAGCTAAGTACCCAGAACAAGCACCATTTGTTGAAATACTAAGCCAGATTTTTGAGAACAGTAGCTTCTTGTGTATGCAGGCAGTATTTCAACTGAACAAACCCCACTAAATAACCCATTTCTTAAAGCATGAGGCAAAATGAAAAGTTAATTCCTGCTTCCCCTAAGTACATAGCCAGCACCTGATGACCTACTTGCCCTGCAGTGAAAGAACACAAGAGTGAAAACACTCAGACACCTGCATGCTATGAAAATAAGAGACAGCCTGCTTTAAATGCAATTTCTTCCCTTTAGGCACATTAATTGACAAGAAGTACTAACACAGTTACCTTTAAGTTTCAGCTTAATACAGCCTGAACTCTTTGAACACATTACCCA